ATTACATAGGATTTTTATTATACTTGAACAATAATATTATCAATTATATTATTATATTATAGAATATAATACCATACGTAATGTTACCAATTATGCAATATTACCAATTAATAGATTTTTTTAAATTTCCATTAGACATTTACTTACCAAATAAGCTTTACTACAAAAGTTTGGGCGGGAAAATGAAATTGGATGATTTTGTTGTTTTTTTTTTTTTTTTTGAAAAGGTATGATTTTGTTTTTATATAATAATAATAATAATAATAATAATAATAATATATAATATATAATATATATAGATTAATTATTACCCTAATACTTAATTTATAATTCTGATTTTAAAATTCTTATTATTATTATTAACATTAACATTTGATTAGTTTTATAAAAAAAAATGTAAATTCTAAAATTTGTATGAATAAATTTAAACTCTAATCCGACGCATTTCCTTATATGATTGTATAATTCATTTTATATACACATAATATTTATTAAAATGAAAATAGGAAAATTTTATAATATAATTTCATTAATTATAATTTATATGGATAGATTTATAATTAAAAAATTACATTTAAAAATTTAAAAAGTTGCATTTAAATTTTGCATGATTATTATAGTGCATAAGTGTATGTATGATTAGAAATATTCATGTTTTGTTAATTTAATAATTTAATTTCTTTAATTATATTTCATATTTTATTAATTGTAATTTAACTAAATTGTCACAAATATTTCTAGGGAAGAAATCTTATATTTGTCAATTTATTTAATTATATTAAGTATAATTACCAAATATTGTGACAATTATCATAATAATTTCATTAATTATATTACTTATATTAATTATAATATTTGTAATAATCTCTTCCAAAATTGAAATACATTACCATAATAATCACACAAAATAATGAAAGAAAAATTATCAAAATAATTATCTTTAAAAAAAAATAAAGAAATTATATTAAAAATTAATTATATATTAAGATAAGTATAATTTTTTTCATGCCAATATATTATACATTAAGTATAAAAATATATATGTATATAAATTACCATAATAATTACACCGAAAAAGGTAACAATATATAATTATTAGGTAATAATATTAATAATTAATTATTAAGGTAAATATAACTTATTTTGTACTAATAATATTATCCATTATATATATATATATATATATATATATATATATATATATATATATATATATATATATATATATATATACTTTTAATTTTATATTGATAACCATAGTCTATGTATATACTTTAAGAAAATATTCATTATTAAATATTAAAGATGAGATATAATTTAAAAAGTAAGTTATTTATTAGATTACCTAATATAATTGTCTTACTAATTGATTCAATGCTACTATGTATAATTCATATATTTGAAAACTTTTTAAATCGAAATATCCATTAATTGCCTTAGTAATTAAAATAATTGTTAGTCAATCAATATTCAATAGTACTAAAAGTATTATTTGAATTTTTATACATAAGATATAATATTATTAAATCAAAATAATTAAAAATAATGTGTCCATATTACAAAAAATTTTATAATAGTAATTTTTATTGCATAATAGAATTTGGCAATTATTAAATATTGTTTATGGTAATTATTGTATGACTTTTAATACTAAAATTATTAGGTAGAATTTTTATAATTAAGGTATAATATTCTAAAAGTGAAATATTGCTTATATATGGTTTACCCGTATTAACCATCACTATATTAAGTTAATAAATAATTCTTTTAATATAATATATTATTAAATCTAAACATATTATTAATATTTATTCAATATTATTACGGAAGTATTACAATTATAAATTTTACTCCGTATTAAATTTTAAATGGCTTAGCATATCGAAGCAAACATGGTAAGTCAATAACATTATTTTACATTAGTAAAGTGATTTTATATCAAGGAATGTCAGATGAAGAATAAAATCAAAATAATACTCTATTGAAAAAAAAAAAGCCACAGTACTTAATCATTTTTTCCTAAAAAAAAATAAAATTAAATGGCAAAAAAAACGTCTTGAGGGGAAAGACAAACTACTCTCTTATTACAAAAAATGTACACTTTAAAAACGGAGAAATTGAATCGAAACAAAGTCCAATGCTTTGATATATTGACAACTAAAAAATGCTTTTAATTTCATTTTGGTTTTTATTGTATTCTTAGTATGGTTCCCTCTATAAGTCTATATATATTTATATATACACATAATTCGTCCCTCGATCACAAAACATTATCATCTTGATGAGCAAGAAACTCTTTTGCTTCCCGATCAATCTTTCTAGATCTGTACCTTCTCCACAAAAAAAAAAAAAAAAAAAAAAAAAAGACAAAAAAAAATATATATCAACATTTTTTCTTATGAACCACTTTTGTTGTTTAAAAACCATAAAATACAAAAAAAATAAAAACAAAACAAAACCCAAAAAGAAGAAAAAATAAAAGAAACTAAGATGATGAAAACCTCACCAATGTAAATCACGTATCAACCTCAACTGTGGAAGATCACATGATGATTAGAAGTCTATTGCTTCCCGGTCAATCTTTCTAGATCCGTATAGTATCTTCTCCACAAAAATAGACCAAAAAAAAAAGAATATATCAACATTTTTTCTTACGAACCACTTTTGTTGTTTAAAAATCAAAAAATACAAAAAAATAAAAACAAAACAAAACCCAAAAAGAAAAAAAAAAAAAAAAGAAAAAAAAAAAAGAAACTAAGATAATGAAAACCTCACCGGTGCAAATCATGTATCAACCTCAACTGTGGAAGATCACAGGATGATTAGAAGTCTATTGCTTCCCGATCAATCTTTCTAGATCCGTATCTTCTCTACAAAAATAGACAAAAAAAAAAAAGAAAAGAATATATCAACATTTTTTCTTACGAACCACTTTTGTTGTTTAAAAATCAGAAAATACAAAGGAATAAAAACAAAACAAAACCCAAAAAGAAAAAAAAAAATTAAAGAAACTAAGATAATGAAAACCTCACCAGTGCAAATCACGTATCAACCTCAACTGTGGAAGATCACAGGATGATTAGCAAAAATCAATAAAATAATTAACCTTAGTTGGGGTTGTGTATGGTCATATAAGGTGTATTTATACACAATGGATGAGATCAAAAGGGTTTAGTATTAAAATTATAAAATGGTAAGAGATCTCAAGAAAGGTAAAATCTTTAATATTATTAAAATGCCATATTTGTCTAAATATTTGATATTACAAAAATGCCTCTAAGTTTTGGGAGAAAACTTAGCTAGGAGGATTTTATACTTTTATATATATATAGACAATTAAAAGGATTACAATAATATATAATTTCCATAATTATATTACCATAATGTTTGTTATTCTGACGGAATATTCCATACATATTTATAATCGTAATTTTATATATAATAATATATAATATATGCATAGTTATATATAATATATGCACTATGCAGTATGATAGGTATAATTAATTAGTGACCAACGAACGTTGGTGAAGAACATTTCATAATCAATATTATAGGAATATTTCATAATTAATTAGTTTATATTACCATAATATTCTTTCCATAATATTCTTTCCATAATTAATTAATATATTGATATTACTTAAATGACCCTAAGTTTTGGGGGGAAAACTTAGCTAGGAGGATTTTACTTTTATATATATATAGATATAGATATAGATTGGGTGCGTTTAATTTGGAGCAGGAGACCCGCAATCCACCCTTCGGATAAGCGGATCCGAGTACAGTGTTTGTCAACTATAAACCGTGTTTTTATTTGTATTTGAGAACATATTATTTTCTACTAAAAAAACTCAAAAACGACCTAATATCATGTCACTAAGGTTCCTGCAACTGATGAATGGTCGCCTTCAACAGTTCGTTAGTCGACGGTCATCAATCATCGAATTTAGCCGGAGACTTGCCGAAACTCTACTGACCTACTATTACATTACAGGTTAATAACTAATTCTTAGACTTTGATGCACCAAAATAAGAGTTTTTTGCACTTTTAGTCCCACGACTATAGTGGCACTGGCAGAATTGATCCACGACTTTTGAACCTTGCAATTTTAGTCCACGACTATTGATTTTTTTGCAAAAATGGTCCTTCCGGCCACTTTTCCGTCAAAATTTCACCGGAAAAAAAAAATTCTCCATTTTTAGCCGGGTTAAAATTGACATTTTACTTATCTCAAAAAATTAAAAGAAAAAATTGATATTTGACTACATACAATATTACTGGGCTACATACTACTACCCCAGGCGGCGGAGTACATGTACCACTCCAATGTTGCTGTCGGATAACCCAACTAGCCCGGGGAACGCCACGGCCGCTCCGCCGCTTACTGACAGCCCTGCCTGCTCCAGGAACGTAACTCCGGCGCCTGGGGCAGTAGTATGTAGCTCAGTAATATTGTATGTAGTCAAATATCAATTTTTTTCTTTTAATTTTTTGAGATAAGTAAAATGTCAATTTTAACCCGGCTAAAAATAGAGATTTTTTTTTTTCCGGTGAAATTTTGACGGAAAAGTGGCCGGAATGACCATTTTTGCAAAAAAATCAATAGTCGTGGACTAAAATTGCAAGGTTCAAAAGTCGTAGATCAATTCTGCCAGTGCCACTATAGTCGTGGGACTAAAAGTGCAAAAAACTCACCAAAATAACATGCTTTAATTGTAACTTTTAAAAGTTCTATAAAGTTTAAGGCTTATTTATTTGACCCATTTTCCTTTTTATTTTTTATTTTTGTCAGTGTTCTTCTAAATGTAAGCTGGTAGGAATTGCAGAAAGCTGAGCAACTACAAGCAATGGATGACTGATCTAACTGAGTAAAACAGAAACAGGTTTTGAGTCACAATTAATTAATGGCATAATAACAAATGTTAGATTAGTATACCCAAATTAGATTTGAGATAAAAATATCATATCGCACATTATATTAATTCTTTTCCATACACTACTCGCTGAAAAGGAGATTGAAAAAGCTTGAGAAATCAAAATCATCAGACTCCACCAGTTGAGACAATGCTGCCTCCAAATCCTCTTCGTCTTGTGTATTGTAAACTGCATCAACTGTAATTTGTTCCTTCTGCAATAACTCCATATTTTCGCCGCGTTTTCTGAGATCATGGAAAACCTCATTCTCATCACAATCTGTTCTTCCGCATTCTGTTGAGGATCTGAAATCCAGTGGTTGAGGATTCATGAAAACATCTTTCGATTCCTCAGCTGCATAAACCTCGTTACTCGAATCCGACATCTTATCCAAAGCCGGAGAATCTGGGAAGTTAAGAATGGCGTTGGGGCCATACATAACCCTTGCAGCCTCATCATAAGCAAGAGCGGCCTCTCCGGCGGTCGGAAAAGTGCCGAGCCAAATGCGGGTGCCTTTGCTCTTATACTCATCACTGGTATAAACCGGTTCCCGGATCTCAGCAACCCATTTTCCCCAAACCCTCTGCCTAACTCCTCTGTATGTACACCCTGAATTCTCCGGCCCACCCTTGCCGGCCATACACCCCTTTCTTGATGCCTTCGCCGGAAACTTTACCCGTTTCTTAATCCCTCCGTTTATTGTATTCGTAGCAGCATTGGCCTCCACCGGCGCATTGTTTAGCTTCTTCCACCTTAACAATATCTCCTCCACTGATTCACTCCCGTTGCGCCGCCTTCTTGATTTCCTTTTCTCCCCATCCGCCATTATATCTGAATCAACGAAGCTTTCAGTGCATACTTTCAGATAGTGGTCGCGAATTTTCTCTGTCAATTATGTTATAGGTAGTTTATATGGTCGTTGGCCAATAGGACAAGTACGTTTCCTTATCATTCTTGCTGACCAAGAAATGCCTTTTTTTCCTTTCTTTCTAGAGTTCTTATTATATTGTATTTTTCAAGAATACCAAAAATACTACAGTTGTCTTCCCTTGCACACAAAGAAAGAAACAATATTTTAAATAAAATAAAAAATATAAAGCCCATTTCTCATATTGAATATGAAACAAAAGCCTCAAAATTCATTAAAACCATCAAAAGAGAAGTGTAACAAACAATTCATAATGAAAGACCCAAAATTTACTGCTTTTGTCATTGGAACAATGCACTTATGGAGGCAATGGCCTTCATCAAGTCCAGATGAGCTAGAATAAACCCATATATATTTCCAGTCATTGAAATTTAAATTTTCACTTTATTCCCAGTAATTCATTTTTCATGGAATTGCAATTCCTTTCCCACGTAATTCTCCTCTCCAACCAAACGCCCTGTAATGGTATTTAGACTCATTGCCAACATGCTAAAATGTATTCAGACCAGAAAATATTCTTCTCTCTCATAAAGTCATAAGGCTGTTGCTTTTACAGGTGAGTATCAGAGATATCACAAAAGGTAGGCCATGGAGTGAGGAGAGCATAGACACAGCTCAAACATTGCTTAAAGATTAAAGGGAAATTATACTTAAAAAAAAAAAAAAAAAAAAAACAAACAAACAAACAAACAAACAACAACTTATATTAATTTAAGTCCTAAGACAACACATTATAAAGAAATAATAGAGGATTAGAAAACCACTCCGAACAACCAGACAACGAGTGCTGCGGTCTCTGCTTCTCTCGGGGTGAATTTAGAAAGCATATTCATCACATGAATAAGTGTATAACCCAACAAAAAGTGAAGAATCATCACCAAAAAGATACATTTACACCTAAATTAAAAGAATCACAAATCTAAATTACAAATGGTATCATCATTTTGATTTTGATGTCATTTTTCTTAATAACTACCTAAAAAAGAAAAATAAAAATTTCACAAATTTACCCCCCAAAAAAACCCGGCATTGAATTTGTGAATTCCAGATCAAACCCGAGACGCAGCGGCCGGAGCGGCGGCAGCTTTTGTGGCAGCGCCCGTCAACAAGGAGATGATACCCGTGGGGGGAGCCTGAGCCTGAGCCTGTTGTTCTTCGAAGTAGAAATCTTCGGGGACGCGGAAAACTGAATGGGCGCAAACAATGGCGACGCTGACGAGCAATGAGGTGACGAGAAGGGGTCCCACGCTGGTAAGGAAAAGGACTAAGACGGTGGAGAGAATGAGGGCGGCGAGGATTTCGAAATCGGAGAAGACGCGGCCGAAGATGACGAGAGGCTGATCGACGGGGCGGAAGACGTAGAGGAAGAGCCAGGCGGCGAGGAGGGCGAGGAGGAGGCAGAGGGTGAAAGGGTTGCTGAGGAGCGATAATCCGATCACGGCGGCGATGATGACGTAGTAGTTTGTCCGGAAATACGCGTAGTTCTTGCGGATGCGGAGGGTGGCTTCGGATAACGATTCGGGCTTGGAGAGGGCGGAACGGTCGACGAGCTCGCGCCAGGGGCGGCGCTGGGAAAGGCCATTGCGTACGTTCTCGATGATCTGGTTAAGGAAGGAGCGGAAAGCCGGGTTGGGAACGAAGGCGGCGACGACGCCGGCGTCAGAGGGGGCCACGGCGGTGGTGGGTTGGCGGTTGGAAGTAGGGACAACCGCGGGCGTGGCCATTGCTTTATTCTTTGGAACCTATGATACTCTCAACTATTGTAATTTGCAAACAATCATAACATTTCTCAATTTTATATAGCGGGAAGAGAGTCACACAGATGGAGAAACAAACAACAATTTTGCATCAGTAGTTCATGTGAGATGCATATTCACCCAATATTTTTCTCGCAGTTTTTACTTACTTTTTTCCGCTTATTCTGATATCTTTATTATGGTGGTACCAAAATTTAAACATAAAAACCATAATTTAATGTAGAGGAAATTTCACTTTCGATCTTATGATTATGATCTCGAGATGTTGTTAATTGCAGGTTATGAATTTCAAAATTATCATTTTTCTCAATTTCAACACTTTCAGCCAAATTATCGACGAAAATAAAAAATAATGAGGGCAATTTAAATTTTCGCTTTAATATATTATTATAGCAAAAGAAAACTTTTGCAGCAAATTCCACCTTAATCCCATCTGTCTAATAATTAATATTCTATACAATAATAATATATCTTTAATCTTAATAATAATATTCTGGATTGCACTTTAAGTATTCCCCTATTGTTTATCCTTTGCCTGATGCCCTGATGACCCTTTTGGTTTGCAGAAAAATTTTTACAAGGAAAAGCATTTAAATTCTATGAAAAATGCAGATTCATATTCCATTACTAAGAATATAATCTCTATTGTTTGGTTTATTCCAAATTTGTCAAAGAATAATTAGTAGAAGAACCAACATGCCCTTGCTGTGGGTTAAAAGAATTATTTAAATGTGTATAATCAATAAAAAGATAACGTAAGCATAACACTATTTCACAACTTTCTTCTCAAATATTGTGAAAATAAAATGCCAAAGAAAATCCAAGAAATTCCTTTTCCTTAAATTAATTTAAAGAATTGAAACTGAAAAGAATAAATTTTCTAATGAACCAAATAGACCATAAATATATCATCCCCCTCTCCTAGAATTGTTTGATATATTGTTGTTTCTTTGTTTATAAACAAATTTAGAAAATGATCATACATGCATTACCAAGGTGAGATACTAGTTATAAGATAATAATAAAAGGAATAATGGAGAGCCAAATCATGATGTAAGAAGAAGGCAGAAGAATGTGATGCAGCACATAAACCATCAAATCTTATTTAAAAGGTGCATCAGTATTCAAGGTCTACCACATAGATATAATCTTGTTCACATCAAATGCAGTTCCTAGCATACATAGAGCTCATAAAAGGTTCGAGACTGCACACCCCCCTGCTGCTATAGAGAACTCCAGGCATCTAGAAAGTGGATCCGTTCCATCCGAAGAATGAGCCCTACAAAACAGATGCAATCTTTAGTGGCATATTTGAAAGCAATGTATAGTTGGGAAAAAACCCGTAAATAAGCAAACAAATGGAGCAAAAGAAATTAGGGTATACACACAAGTGCTACTGTACTAATGAAGTCGTTTCTCATGGTTATGAACAGTGAAAGTGTGTTTACATTATCTAGTACTGGTGTAAAGCATGAAGACATTGTGCATATTCTTGACTTTGATGGGCCTAAACAAACAGGAAGAATGCAATGAGTGGAATGCAAAGGAAGGATCCATCCTTCAAAAACTTAGAAGGCTAATATGCTTGCCTTGGCATCGTAGAACTTCAGGAAATAGCGTGACTTGGGAACTTTCAGCTTGCTCTCGAGTATTTCAGCAATAGCGGCACTCAGCTTCTTGTTAACATCAGCATTCAGACCCCCAATGGACACCAGCTCACCATAGGCTGCTGGCTGCTCTGTCCCACCAAAAGACAGAGGCACAGATCCCTTCAACACAATCATTACATACTGCACAACGAAAGCATAATATAGCTCTAATCACTTCAGAGATAGGTCAAAAAGATCAGTAGCAAACACCACAAGATATCACTGCATTGTCCACGGGAAAGCATAAAAGCTCAACTGAAAATATGAAACAGTAACAAAAACACAAGAAAACCATCATTACTACGGCTACATACTGCAAACCAAAGATCCAGCAAGCAAGAAAACTAGTTGTAAGAACAAGAATCTAAAATACGACTTGCAATTTATTCAAGGCCAAATCTATGTGCACGAGTTTAAAAACAACTCATTCCAGGTCAACTGGCAATAAGCTCTGCTCTGCACATGCACTTGAACACAACATATTCAAGGTCGACTAGCAATAAGCTCCGGCCTGTTACACGGGTTTAAATGTGTACTCTTTCGACAGGGGCACTCTACTCACCATCATTTTTAAAAATAAACTACTGCCAATTGCATTTTACACTCTTATAGTAAATATTTACACATATATTGCATTCTTACTCTTATAGTAAACATTTACACATATATTGCGTCAAAGAATGTGAAAGAAAAAGCAATACAATGACAACCATAGGCTTACCATTCCAACAACTCCCAACAAATAGCCTTAAAGAAGTGCTCATTTCCATTAAATTAATGAATATCCAAGCATAATAGTTTATCCTTGCAACTTTAAACTTAACAGCAAACAATGTTTTCATACTAACGAAAATCACAAATGAATAAAGTGTCACAAATCTTCAACCAAGAGCGGATACAGTCACAGAAAACTGAAGGTAATCATCCCCAATTCAATTAAATCAACACTATATCTCATTCTCTTACTAATTTCATTCTTCATCATTCAGAGATTTTCAACTTACAAAACAAATGGAATATAGAATATTGATCAATTACAAAAGGAAACCACGGCGAAGGAACATTAACGAAATCGCAACTCAAATCACAACAATAATAGCACAGCACAGCACACGCGCGCATATGTATGTGAAAAGGGAGAGAAGGAGGGGAGCGTAGATGGAATAATCATACGGATTCAGGTTTGCCGATGATTTTGGCAACAACCGAGGTGGCTTCAGAGAGAATGGAAGAGGTGTCAACGCCTTCAAGGTTGACGTTCGTCGACAAGTTGAGGCAAGGCATTTTCCGGCTATTGTATTCTCGGCGGCGACTCAAAATCTGCTCTATCTGTATTCTCTATTACAACCACTCCCTCAACACACTCACACTATGAAACCCCCACTCCGCTTCTGCCTCTTATTATTCAGCTAACAACTAAGTAACGTGCCCAAAATGCCCTTCAACTGTGATCTACCAAAACTACCCTTGTTCTCCCCGAAAGGAAATACAGACGTACAAGGAAAATGCTATGCTATCACGCCTTATTTTAGTGTTAATAAAAAATCAGTTATTTGTAGTATGAATTTTCAAAAAATAATCTTGAAATATCTACACTTACCATTACCATTTAAGGGGATTACGGACATTGATTTTCTTAAACAATAATAATACAAGTAAACTACTAAACTCACATGACTAAATATCTACATTATTTTTATGAGTTTTAAATTTTTTAAACAAATAACATTTTGCACGTGTTTATAATAGATAGTGCATTACCTAATAACAATATTATTTTAGTGTAACAAGTGAAGACTGATTTCAGTCGTCCATCGTGGTTTATAAATGGTTATTAAGAGTTTAATATTAAAAAAAAACATATAATCAATTTATAGTTATTGTAAACTTTTAAATTTACAATATTTATAAAACGAATCCCATTATTTTTTTTTCTTGCAACCATCAACCGTTAATCTAGTTATATTGACAGAAGAAGTAGAGAGATCAAATCAATCTTCACTTTGAATTTGTTCTCGCTTAAACTGTCACCTCTATAGTAGCTCATTTGTAGATATGCTTGAATCCTAGCAACTACCTTCACCTTTCTGCTCTGAAAAACCAAAAAATTGTAAGTATATGGATTTTTTTAACACCTATGATTATTTACAAGGTAATATATGTTCTAAGTACACGGATGTTTAATTTCTGGGGAAAAGGAAAATCAAAATCTTGTAAAATTCCAAGGTTAGTAAGTTACCTACCTTGCTGACAGCAGCCAGCAAAACCATTAAGTGTATACAACAATCATCTAACTGCATCAACTATTTTACAACCATGGAGAAAAACACTTCTTTCTCTTCACATATATAAGCAATATCATGTTTCGGACCACCACAATTCCTGGGCATCTGGGAACAGTCTGATGAACATTCTATAACAATACAAACCCTCAATGAGAAACACCTAGCTCTAGGGGTTTTGTAAAATGGTGCGACAATTGTGAACTTTCTGACTTCATCATCTCCTCCGAGCTCACGCAAATCCAAGAATGCAAACTGAGTCATCTTCTCTTCTAGACTCATTTTTATCCAGAGCCTCTTCTCGACTGAGACATTATGAACTGTGATTGCAAGGGATATACCAACAGGTAGCCCCGGAATGAATGGAAGAGGATTTTGAAAGTCAGTGCCTTGAACATCCATTTCAGCCTCAATGTATTTGAGCTTTCCTGGTAAAACTAACTGTCTCAGTTTGAATTGCTTGAGTGAGGACAGAAGCGAAAATGGATTCTCCATGGTCGCACTGCCTGACATATTGATCTCATTCAGTGCCTTCTGAAGTTCTGTGACAAAACTAGAAAGTGAAATTGATCCTTCTTCATGAAGTTGCTGCGCCAAGGAAACACTGGAATGTAATTTCTTCGTAGTATTATATTGACAACCGGCTTCTAATTTACACAGCTTTGCTGTATCAGCCACAAGCTTCAGCTCCAAGACATGAAACTCATCCTCTTTTGTCAATCCTATGAACCTATACCTCATCTCTTTTAGGATCATGTCAAGGTTTTCAAACAATAGTCGCCAGTCTCCCATTTGGTAGGAGTAGAACTTTCTTGGAAATATTAAGCGTGCCCACAACCTTCCAAGCAACTCTATGGCATCCAAATAGTTCAATATGAAAATTAATTCATCCCCAAATCTTGAGTTACTACGCAGTCTTCTCAACTCTGCCTTCAAGCCTCTGCATGTGTGATATATCAGAACATGTTAGTTCCACCATATAAATCCAAGCAAATGTGCTTTTATTTATAGGCATAAGCAAACAAAGTACACGATCTTGGAAATGCAAGAACTAAAAAAAAAAAAAAAAAAAGATCAAATCTGACTCATGCCAAGGTGATAAATTAAGGAACCTTAATCAAAATTGGGGCCGTATTAGATTTTAATATTTTATGAAGCTAATTTTATATTAAGTATGTTGTAATATGCAGTAACAAGCAATTCAATCCTATTAACGTCCTGATATTGGTGTCCTAGACCTAAAAACATGTCACATAAAAGCAATTTGAGAAGAAATCCCTAATCTTGTTTAATATCATGAACACGTCAATAAAGAAAGAACTATTATCCTTACGATAATCTCAACCTTAAAATATTTGATACTCCATCCATCAATCCAAGTTCTAGCAATGGCCAAATCTCTGTGACCTTCTGAAGTATAAGCGTTATGCAATTTCCCCCTTTATCAGGCGTGCCAAGATTGAACTCTAGCTGTCGAGAGTTTGCCCTCTGTAATTCCAATACCTTCTCAGAGCAATCCTCAAGAAAAGCATCATCTCTCTGGATCAAGTATGCATCACCTTCCTCGGCAGGCAAATCACATTCTTCCCCATTGAAGAACTCTGCAGCAGAAGCAAATGTGAATCTGCTGCAATGAGAAAGATAAGTCAAAAGGTTACTCTGGTCCATTACATCAGCCAAACCACGTGAAATTCGCCCCAGTATTGTGACTGCATAAGAGAATATTCTCGGTTGAATGCTGCAGATGTGCCGTTCTAATGAGACTGGAGCTGAGATGGCCAAGACCAATAATGAAGCTGTTCGCACATTGTCAAAGCTCAACTTCCCTCCAAAAGAAGGCTCTATCTGGTGCAGAGAGAAGATACTATTAAAAATCTTCAAATTTAGACAAATAGGTCCATGATAGGGTAATGCTACAGCTTGTAAAATATTGTTCCTTCAGTTTGAGAATCAGTTAACTGAAAGCAAGTAATCTGTGGCAGTAATGAGTCATGCTTACCATTCGAGAAACCTCACGCATCATGCTCACTACAAACTTTCCATGTTTTTGACCAACACTAAACAAAACAGAAAACACATCAGCTTCATCCTGAAAAAGTTAGTGAGAGAAGTTTCATCAATTAGCATAATGGCTAGTCTATAAAAACACTACATAAAATAAAATTAGAAGTAATAAAAGAAACACTACGGCATTCTTAACTGATATAAAATCAGTAAGCATGCATGATGCGTGCAATAAAAACCAGTGTTTTAGTATAACATACCTGTGGATAGAGTTCTAAGTTTTTTATAAGGCCATCGATACATAATCTGAACAAAGCTAAAGTCCGTAATTTTGTGAGTTTAAGTACTCTCCTTGCTGCAGATCTTATCAAAACGTCACTATCCAAGAGGGTCCCGACGAACTGCAAAACAATATTGACCTCCAAAGTAAATCACCATATGCACTTCTTTCAAATTAAGCATAATATGGGGGTAACCCCAGCCAAGATAGCTAAGGATACAAAATTATAACCACAAGGTCACGAGTTCGAATCTCAGCCTTCTGGGTTTGAGCCGGTCAGCTATGGGCAACCTAGGTTGATTTACCTCCTTGTGGTCCTTTGCTGGCTAGGGTCACAAGGCAGGGTTTACTCAGTGCACACCCTCGGGTAGTAGCTCCGGGTTTCCCTCGTCAGTCGTAACCCCAAAAAAAGTAAGCATAATATCATATTGCAGTGCCATGCACAAAATTAATAGAAGGGATTTATTATTCAAAAAAAAAAAAAAAAACCTTAAGTAGATAATTGTATACACCTAGTAAAGTTTGTCACATTACAAGACTACAAGGTGCATATTTATATTCCTGTATCCAATATTACTTAACAATGAAGAAGTATGACAAACACCAGGTATGATCAACATCTGTGATGAATGTAATAAGCAGTTTCAACAAGCCACTTGTCTCTAAGCATGCAACACTGTAGAGGGTTTCTGATGGAATAGAGATTTACCTTGTTTAAGTGTGCTTCTTGCACCTTTAGATGGTCAAACCTTGCCATGGAATGCATTGTCTCTAAAGCTTGCAACCTTACATCTAGTGAATCATCACTAAGTACATCCATCAAAAGATTTACAGCTCCACCCGCAAAATCAGCAGAGAGAATAGTCAATCTCTGCAAGGCACGACAGGCAGAACTTCGTACCTTCACATTAAAAGGGATGACTACGTAAAGAAACTCTGAGCAAAGTTTTTCAGAAAGTTAGAGAAGAGGAACAAGTAATGGAGTTGCAGATGGCATGTGACTTTCATGCCTATGAACCTTGACTATGAAAAAACACAACTGAATGTTGCCAGATGCAGCTAGAATGACTTATTTGTGCAGATATTCTACCTGATGGAATTCATCCTCCAACCCATGGACAAAAGCAAAAGCAGCATTTGATGCTGGTAGTTTAAGGGATTTGGCAGTGAGCTGGCCAGGAAAGTTCTTCTCTTTCATGGCTGCCGAAGCTTTCTTTGATAGGGTTTGCAAAAGAATATCATGGGAAACCATTTCAACATTCCCAAGGGAATGGAATGCTTCAATTCTGACATTGACACTCATATCTCTGACCATTGAACAAAGCTGCAAGCAAATCAAGCACCATAAGTTCATAACAATTTAAACAAATTAACAAAATACCACAAACTTATTGGCCTTTCCAATGTTATATGTTACTTCATGCAAATAACTGTTATTTACCAGGATTAATTTTTAAGATTAAACTTTCAAGTGTCAGAGAAGATAGATAATAAGACTATAAATTCCAGAGGTAAGGGGTTTGTACACCTTTTTTTTTTAAGAATATTTGAATTTATATGATATTGATGGCTAATCCTGCCTCTCAACCAGTACCTAAATTTACTACATTGCACTGGAAGCATTAAGCATATCATCATTTGAAAACATTTTTAAAAATCACTTAACCTTTTTCCTTTTTTTTTGATAACTTTTTTCCTTTGGGAGGAGGAACTGGGGGAATAAGTCAAAGTATTGTGAATAAACCACCTGTACAAATAATGCATCTGACCATTCTTGTCTACTTTTCTCAAGGTTGGTAGACACAAGCAACCGCCCACACTCACTAACCTGGAGTCAGAGCAGAACAAAAACCATTAGTCACCAATTGGTCAAGTGTCCACACACGAAACCAGATCTTTCTAATATTCACATTTTGTATCCCAAATTGAATTAAAAAGAAAATGGAGGAGTATGATTATGCATAGAACAGATACACCATCTTAAAAAAGAAATGTTATATGATTTTCACAGAGAATTATTAGATTCTAAAATGAAGAGTTGTAATGGAGCATTACATGATCTGTTAGAATGCTCTCCAGCTACTAACACAACCAATGTTACAATCCAAAAAGATTGCACAAACTTTAAGCTTCTCACTACCAATAGTGAATAAAGTAGGCATTAACCTAGAAGTTAACTTTATAAGCTCTATCACATTTAAATTTTGCAGTGGTAATTTAACTTTTCCATACAGTTCAGCTCATATCCAATACTAGACCACTAACGATATTCCTACTTAGCAATAAAATTCAAAACAGCAAAATAGAAATAACTAAACTTAGAAAACAGTCTCTGTTTAACTTCAGCTGTATACAACCATGATAGAATTAAAATTGAAGAAAATTAGTTCGGTTGTAAGATATCATACCACTCGAACTGCAGAGCACCGCACAGTATCCTCGGTGTCGAATAGAAGCTCAACAGCACGAAAATAACAACCTTGAATAAGATTTTCATCTTCAATCAAAATGCATTTACACAATCCAGACAGTCCGTCCAAAGCAGCACTACGGATGTTCGGATATGGATCCTTGGTAAACCCGAACAGAACTGTAAACAATACCGACGGCCGTATCACAAACCTACTCACATTCTGCAACAGCCAATACCGGATAGAAATGCGTGGTCGGAAAACCAGTGAGAGAAATGCCGATTCGTTGTTGACGTCAGTAGCAGAGAGGGAGAGGAGAATAGATAGAGAATCTGCGAGGGAGCGAGTGGAGACGGAAGGGAGGAGCGAGAAGGAGTGGATGGCGGTGATAACGTCTTGTCGTAGGCGAGGGTGGCGAAGAGAGAGCAGATGGAGGATGGGGAGGATGGGGCGGTGGTGACTGTCGCGGTGGTTAGGGTTTTGGAGGGAGAGAGTTAGGGTTTTGAGAATAACAGAGAGAGAAGAGTCGGTGGTGGAGGGGTTGCTGACCAGAGAAAGAACAACGCTTAAGGCTTGGAAAGGAGGAGGTGAATCCCGGCTGTTAATGGCCGCGTTTTCGAACTCTGTAAGGAGCTGCTTTTCCATCGACGATTGTCGCCGGCGTTAGCTCAGGCGGGCGCGAATTTGTCTTTGTTGGAGGGAATTTTATTTTTTAATTAGAGTTAATACCCAAAATAGTCCATCGACTATGTCGTAATTACCAATTTAGTCATCGACTATCATTCTTACCTAATTAAGTCCTCAACTATACAATTTTTACCCAATTTAGTCCTTTGTCAATTTGACTGTTTGTTGACTGTCAAAAGTGGAAATAAAGTTATAATTTTACAAGTTTTCTCCTTCCTCCTCATTTAGCAGCGCCAAACCATGTAGCAATAAGCTCCGGTTGGCTTCTAAACCTGTCAGTATCGAAGTAGTGGTTATGCATCGGATAGCCCATGAATTTGATTTCCAACGATTTTTTGACGATCAAAAGCTGATCGGAGTGTATTGCTGCATGGTTTGGCGCTGCTAAATGGAGAGGAAGGAGAAATCTTGTAAAATTATAATTTTATCCCGACTTTTGACAGTCAACAAACAGTCAAATTAATACAGAGGACTAAATTGGGTAAGAATTGTATAGTTGATGACTAAATTGGGTAAGAATTGTATAGTTGAGGACTTAATTGAGTAAAAGTTACATAGTTGAGGACTTAATTGGGTAAGAATGGTAGTTGAGGACCAAATTGGTAATTATGGCATAGTTGAGGGACCATTTTGGGTATTAACTCTTTTAATTATTTCCCATTTGTTTATTTTCCCTTTCCAATTTTTAAGCTTTTTAATTCACTTCTAATTTCTTTAACTATGAATCTATAATGTATTTTTAAATTTATCATATTGTAGGTGTGTTTGAAAACTCGAAAAATAATTTATGAAAATGATTTTTTGGTTTTCAGTATTTGGTAGAGGGTGAAAAATTAAAGTCAATAGAAAATAAAAGGTTTGATCAATGAAAAATATATGTTTTCCTGAAAAATGACCTTAACTTTTTTGGGAAGTCATTTTCCGTTGGAAGAAGTGTCAAATAGGCTCATGTACGCCGTCACTGTCTCTACCGCCGGCTAGTCGACGACTTCTACTTCACAGCTTGGACGACATCAACCAGAGATCCCCGCCGTTTCTCCTCCAGCGACACAGCAACCTGCAGGAATCGTCGCACACACTTAGATTTGTTGTTTCGGAAGCCGGGAAAGAGCGACGAGCGATGATGGGCTGCAATTGTGGTTATTTGCCTACTGGATGACGGTGTTTGGTGGTTGTGCCTTGTGGATTACGGGTTGCACAATCAGAGAGGAGCAAAGTCGGCGAACGGAAAAGGCACAAGTGATAAATAGGCCCATATACTACTGCGAAGTGCTCAATTTCCACCACGAACTAAATTAAGTGTCAAATAGGTCCATCTACGAGTTAAATTTGTTCAATTGACTTTTTTTACAGGTTACCTATTTAATTATTAAAATAAAATAAAATAAAATAAAATAAAAAGAATACAGCCACCGGCTGTTCTCACTGGACAGCCGGTGGCTGCCAATTCAAAGACAGTCGTAGCTGTCTGGCGAGGACAACCGGACATCCACGGCTGTCTAATATGATGTCCAAATCTGGACCTCAAACGGCCTGGAACTAGCCGCTGCCCCCGTTCCAGGCCATGGACGGCCATGGCTGTCCCCAGACAGTTTGGGGACGACCATTAAATTATCTGTCTGGGGATGGCCATGGCCGTCCATGGCCTGGAACGGGGGCGACGGCCGGCGGCCATGGCCGCCGCTCGTTCCAGGCCGTTTGAGGTCCAGATTTGGACATCATATTAGACAACCGTGGATTTCCGGCTGTCCTCGCCGGACAACCACGACTGTCTTTGAAATGGCAGCCACCGGCTATCCAGCGAGAATAGCCGGTGGCTGTATTCTTTTTTTTTTTTTTTTAAATAATTAAATAGGTAATCTGTAAAAAAAAAAAAAAAAAAAAAAAAAAAAGTTAATTGAACAATTTTAACTCGTAGATGGACCTATTTGACACTTAATTTAGTTCGTGGTGGAAATTGAGCACTTCGCAGTAGTATATGGGCCTATTTGACGCTTGTGCCTTTTCCGTTCGCCGACTTTGCTCCTCCCTGATTGTGCAACCCGTAATCCACAAGGCACAACCACCAAACACCGTCATCCAGTAGCCAAATAACCACAAATGCAGCCCATCATCGCTCGTCGCTCCTTCCCGGCTTCCGAAACAACAAATCTAAGTGTGCGCGATGATTCCTGGTTGCTGTGTCGCTGGAGGAGAAACGGCGGGGATCTCTGGTTGATGTCGTCCAAGCTGTGAAGTAGAAGTTGTCGACTAGCCGGCGGTAGAGACAGTGACGGCGTAGTGCTAACACATTGAGGATTTGTTTGTTATTATACAATTAAATGTATAATCTCAATTTTTGGAAAATGAACGAAAATGAGCTCTGGCAGATGTTATCCAAGCTGTGAAGTTGAAGTTGTCGACTAGCCAGTGGTGGAGAGTGACGGGGCGGCGAAGTGCTAGCACTATGAGGATTTGTTTGTTATTGTACAATTAAATGTATAATCTCATTTTTTGAAAAATGAACGAAAATGTTTTCTAAAAAATGACTCATTTTCCTAGTTTCCAAACACACCCTTCCTTTAGTGTATGTTTATTAACTCAATGCTTGTAGGAATCGAACCCTAGTATATATGAGTTGAAAGTTAAGATCACAAGCCACTGGACTAAGCTAGGGAGATTTAGTGAACTAAGGGATGATATCTTAAGAGGATATAAGAGTGTCTATTTATAGTGTATAGACCCCACCAATGCTCGACAAATGTACAACTCTAACTTGCTTTCATTTTTTGCCATACATGTGTCCACACCTACTTGGATGCCTGTGATTTACGGGTAAAATAGATCATTCTACCTTCTAATTAATACATGATATCTTGAATGGCTTAGGTGGTTGGAGCTTATGTTGTTATTCCATAGGGTATAAGTTTAAATATATATTGTTGGCTACACCTCCTTAATTTAGCATTTAATTCATCCCTTTTTAGCCACTATGTTTCCTTCATTTTTAGCAATAAAAACGAACCCATTGGTCCCATGCGCCATCACATTTATTTGTAATTTTTTTTTCAATTTGAAAATCATATAATGGATAATTAAAACTGAAAAATAATTGACAATATATTTACTTATACTTTTTTTTTTAAATAAAGAATGAATAATAAAAAAAATTTAAAAATTGAAGAAAAATTATTGGATTTTTCTATTAAATTTTGGAGTCGAATCTTTTAAAAATTATTACTATTATTATTTACAAGAACAAATTGCACTTTTGGTCCTGTGAGTAGTATAGTACTGGCAATTTGAATACGTGACTTTCAAAACTCCCAATTTAAACCTTTAACTATGCAATTTTTGGCACATTTGGTCCTCCCGGCCAAATTGCCGGCCAATTTTGGCCGGAAAATTTTAAATCATTTTTAATTAATTAATCAGAGGGGCAAAGTAGTCCTTTCACACTCTTTCTTCTTCTCCATTCCCCCCCTTCTTCATCGTTGCAGCGACGGATTGGGTTAGCAAAGAAATCGGAGCTTTAATAACTAAACACTAAAGAGTCCGTCTATGGAGGCTTGCTACTCACTAAATCGTGCTGCTACTCGTCGCCGCCGATCCCATTCCGACGGTGTTCATCTTGTCGGGGCTGCATTCCCGGGAGCTCTCCACGCTGGTTACCAGCGAAGAAGCGTTCGACAAGTGAGCGCTCATCAGCGTTCTCGCCGCCGATTCCCCCAACCCGAAACATGCCGACGAGCTATTCTCCAGTCCGGCGCGGCGGCGACGTTTGCATTATCCTCCTGAACTCTCCCGTGATCGCCGCTGCCGTTCTGGTTTGGATTCGTGACTGCATTTACGCCTCTAAACTTAATCGCTGCAATGTCATACGCCTCAGCGGAAGAAAATAGCAGAAGCTTTCGAAATGATTGAAGTGAAATTGTGTATTACCTAAGGCGATGACGATACAAACTAGAAAGTGTGAAGAAGGAAAGTGCGTTTCAGTCTTTGCTCGTCGCCGAAAAATCCACCGTCGCTGCAACGATGAAGAAGGGGGAGAATGGAGAAGAAGAAAGAGTGTGAAAGGACTACTTTGCCCCTCTGATTAATTAATTAAAAATGATTTAAAACTTTCCGGCCAAAATTGGCCGGCAATTTGGCCGGGAGGACCAAATGTGCCAAAAATTGCATAGTTAAAGGTTTAAATTGGGAATTTTGAAAGTCACGTACTCAAATTGCCAGTATTATACTACTCACAGGACCAAAAGTGTAATTTGTTCTATTTACAATTTCAATCTAAAATAATTTCACAAACAAGTGATGGAATACACACAAAATGAGAGTAAACATATATAAATGTCTTAAGATGGGTGAAATAGAAAATTAAAAATGGTAGTCATAAATGGATTCGAACCCTGAAAAATGCAGCTATCTTAGAATTTATGAGATAGTGATTTTGTCATCATTTGAAGTTGTACACTTGTACTCGACACAAACATGATTAATCTTAGTATGTAGGATTTTAGTGTTCAGAAACATGTGATCTGACCATAAAAATTATTATATGGTGATAGTTAGTTTAAATACAACACCTTAACAATTTGAAATATTGTTGTAGTAATTACTAATTACTAATTACTACACTCTCTTGCATGTAAAAGTATCATGACCATCTTTAATTTATTGATACTATTGGTGTTATTTGATCTAGCTAGATGTATATAAAATTTTAATTTGTTTCAATGACAAAAAAAAAAATAATAAAAGTTTAGTATGAGTATTTATGATTCAACATCAGAGAAATCACATGGGAAGTGTAAAGGTTCAATTATTGAAATCGTTGCAAAAAGATTGGTGGGACCGTAAGGTTGTGTTGGAATAAAGGCTATAGTATACTAGTATAGACATGAAGAGATGGTGGCCTAGCAAAATTATTGATATAATGAACCTACAACTTAACAAACAAGCTTCCTTTGGGTTTCACTTTTATTAAGCGTTTAAATTAAATATAATGACTGATACTACTCTGAAATTAATAAGTTGAAAGTACAAGATTTTATGAAACAAAATTTGCAACAAACGGCTCAAGAAATTCATTTTAAAATTCAAACTCCGAAAAAACACACACACACACACAATTTTAAATGATTGATTTTGATTTTTTTTTTTGTTGTTTTACGTAATTTTAATCAAATTACTCTTTCTTTTTTTAATAAATAATGTCCAAATTGTTCTTTTAATTTGCAATATACATATTCTTCATGAAAAACGCTACTACAATATAATAAATTTAAAATTTATACGTAATGGGTTGATGAGTCATTGTGAATCACCCCTCACTATATATCATGTTGAACTGGAGTATGAAACTTTAGGGACGATGGAGTTTTATCATTTATGGGGCAAGATTTTAAATTTCTAGCTACAATCTCAATTAAGACAATAATATTGCAATTGGGTGACATAGATATGAAACTAGTGTATGTTTCCTAGTATGTAATTATATTTAAATCTTTATATGCATAATTGCGCAAATTATGCCGTAGAAACGTGTTCACTATATGCATAGTGAACACAGGGGTAGATTCATAATTTCTATACTGCGGATTCATAAATTTTATTTTATTTTTTTGAAAACATAGATTCATAATTTTGTTTTTCTTTTGTTGTTACAGATATTATGAATCTACAGTACAAAAATTATGAATTTATAGTATAGAAATTATGGAATCTACAGTATAGAAATTATGAATCTACAGTATCGATATAGAAATTATGAATCTATAGTACAGAAATTATGAATTTACAGTATAGAAATTAGAGTAAATACTCAAAATGGTCCCTCGACTATAGCTAAATTCATAAATTGGTCCTCGACTTTTAATTTCAACCAATTAAGTCCTTAACTTTGCAATTTTAACACAATTTGGTCCTTTGTCTATTTGACCGTTTGTTGACTGCGCTTTTTTAGGATATATATGTAATTTCATGGTCCATCGCCGGTTTTTTAAGGTTCCGGTTGCATTTCTAGACCGCACTATTACATTTGAATCCACTGCCGGCGCTGCACCCCATGCCGGAGAGATTATAGCTTTTGATAGATAGATCGCCGAAGTCCCTAGGGTGGCTCTTCGAGAAAGCCATGACTCCAAGCGATGTAGACAAGCTGAACCGGCTCGGGATCCCCAAGCAGCAAGCGGAGAAGCACTTCCCCCCTCCGAAACAGCGCTGTCACCTCTAAGAGCGTTCTCTAAGCTGAACCGGCTCGTGATCCCCAAGCAGCAAGCAGCAAGCAGAGAAGCACTTCCCCGTCTGAAGCAACGATGTCACCTCCAAGAGCGTTCTCTTGAGCTTTGCACGTGAAACTACATATATATCCTCAAAGATCGCGGTTAACAAACGGTCAAATAGATGGAGGACCAAATCGTGTCAAAATTGCAAAGTTAAGGACTTAATTGGTTGAAATTGAAAGTCGAGGACCAATTTGTGAATTTAGCTATAGTCGAAGGACCATTTTGAGTATTTACTCTAGAAATTATGAATTTACAGTATAGATGTTATGAATCTACAGTATAGAAATTATGAATCTACAGCTTAGAAATTATGAAGCTATACCGTTAACAACAGATGAAAAAAAAAATTATGAATTTATGTTTTTTTTTAAAGAAATTATAAATCTACAGTATATAAATTATAGATCTATCCATATATTCACCATGTGCATGGTGAACACGTCTCCACAGCATAACTATTGGCATAATTGTTCTTTTTGATGTATGCATGGCATGCATGGTTGTTATTTTATAGGACAATTATTACTCCATTATTGAAGGTCTACGTAAGTGCTTTAATATCTTTTGGTAGGCTTTAAATAAAAAGAAAAAGAGGAGGATAAAAAAGTGCTTTTGTGCATCTCATTGTGTGTAAAATGTTTACTTGAAAGCGATATTTAATTTAAAATCTAATAAACAATTAAAAACAATAAATCGGGTGATTGTTGTTGAATTTCACAATTTTTTATGTGATAAATTTTTTGTAAGCACTAATCATCATATCATTTAATGAATCATCAAGTCATCGTATTTTTTTCTACATGTAAAAGTGAATCGAAATTCATGAGTCGAAATTCGTGAGTCATTTCTAAACCCCTCACAATATGGCGAGTTAGGGCCTAAAATTTTTTACTCAAGAAAATACATGCCTCACGGCTTAGCTCGCGCAGCTTAGCCTGTAAGAATCATAGACTTCTATATATATGTTGTGAATTCTATGTTCATAATTACTGATATATATGTTTATAATTATAAAGCTAATATTCATAAATTTTGAATTTCATATTCATAATTATTGAACTCTATATTCACAATTACAAAACTCTATGTTCATAATTACTTAACTATGTGTTCATAATTATAAAGTTATATATTCATAATTTTTGAACTTCATATTCACAACTATTGAATCTCTATATTCATAATTACAGAACTATATGTTCATAATTATGTTCATAACTCTATGTTCATAATTATAGAACTATATGTTTATAATTTTTGAATTATATATTCATAATTATAATTTATAAACAGTTTTAGAACTGTGTCCACTTTGTTCCATAGCATAATTTGCGGTATTTGGGTTGACAGCATTTTACATTTTGTAGGCAAGAATTTTAAATGCAACCGTTATAATCCTGGTGTTCGACGGTGTGAAAAGCAGACCAAATCAACATCACATAACTCACCACCATGTATAAAATAGAAATCGCATGATTCTCAAATCCCGGCCTTTGAATATTCTGATTCAAATTAAAATGTCAGCTGAGAGTTAATTTCATACTTGTTTGATGGTCAAATTGTTGCAAATTTTATGAGTTCTAAAAACACCGTGTGTAAATGTTGGTTCGATGCTATAGGAATTTCCTTTTTTAGTAATAAATGTTTTCCAACAATGCAAGTTTAATCTCAAATCGTGATATGCGATGTATAACATTATCTTTAGTATTCATATGTATAAACTATTGGTAAAATGACTAAACACATTACAAATTAATTAATATATCAAATATTTTTTTAATCACATTTTAGCTATCTTAAAACTTGTGTGGGAGTGCTTGAGTGTCCTTTTTTGATATGTAGTTCTAATTGACCTTGTGTGGCTGTGTCAATTCTTTAAAAAAATCATATTGTACCAATATTTAGATGCACTTCCCAACTATAAAAATTCAATAGTTATTGCGTGGACCGTGGTCCACATATATTGTACCAATATTTAGATGCACTTCTCAACTATAAAAACTCAATAGTTATTGCATGGACCGTGGTCCACATAGATGTGTGGACCATAGTCCAAAAACGACGTCATTTTGTGTAAATTTTTTCCTTTTTTTCATGCAACTCGCAACAACATACATTTTTATAATTCATAATGTACATTATTCTAAAACATAATGTATATTATTCTAAAACATAATGTAAATTATATTACCTTAGAAGTTTCATTATTTTAACACGTAATGTATATTATTCTTACTCATAATATTTAACGACGTCGTTTTGGATTGTGGTCTATATTCACACAACTGTGTGGACCACGATCCACACAATAATTTGTTATAAAAATTTATGTAGAGAACAAATAACATCGTCTTTCAAGATATGAAATGGATCAGCAAAGATAAGTCTAGTCGAAAAGAAATAATATAAAAAATAGATTTAGTAAAGGTGTAGGCCAGGTAGTATTTGGAACAAAACTTCGGGGAGATTAGTTAATTAAATGTGAATAGGGCGGAAGTGAATTAAATAAATAATAAATTGTTAAAAAGCATATATGCTCGGCTCCGTCCCAACTCCCAACTATAAATTTGAAGCAAAGGATGCATGCATCGTAACAATTAAGCTCGATCGATCTATCAATTCAACTCCCTTCATCATATATATATACAGTGACATTATATATATATACATATATATATTTAAGAAAAAGTAAAAAGATGCCTTGCTTAGATATATCAACCAATGTGAAGCTTGAAGACGTAGACGTGGAATCCTTTTCCCGGGAAGCCACCACCGCCGTCGCCACCATCATCGGAAAACCCGAACAGGCACGTACTACTCCATCTCCCTCCTTATCTGATCTCTCTATGTCTCCCTCACTGCCTATAGTATAGTGCTGCTCATTCATCACAAAATTAATTAATTATAAACCAGATTTTGGATATCCTATCTCTTACATACATATTATAATCACCGATAATATGATTGAGCCAACTCGTATATTGACCAGGAATTACATATATATTCTAATTACTTGTTGAATTATTATAAATTGTAATCTGTCAGTTGAGTCAACTCACGTGTTAATGTGATCCTCGAAGCTAAGCCTGACATTAAGGGTCGTGTTTGGTTGGAAATTTTTGCTCTATTTGGAATTTCTGCTCTATTTGAATGACATCAAAGCATCAATAGGGATAAAATGATGAGGAATAAGACTGAGTTAATCATATACATGTGTTTTAAAAAGTTATCAACCAATCGAAGAAACAAGACTAAATTAATCATCAATCGAACTGGCTTTCATTCACATTCCTTTATGTCTAACCTATGAATCAAACACATTAAGTTATTGGAACTACTGTGGCCTACTGAGTCAGGCTTAGTGTAATTTCATTTTTCCATGATAAGTGAGTGAGGTTAGCTTTTTTTTTTTTCTTTTTCTTTTTCTTTTTTTCTCCTTTTGTAAAGTAGAGATAGGGATAAAAACACTTTTGATTGAAGTCTTCTTTCTCCCTTTAATTTGCTTTTGGATCCATTATTATCTATCTTTTTGTTGTTTAACAAACATAATTGGTGGTGTACAGTTTGTGATGATCATCCTGAAAGGATCTGCAAACATAACCTTTGGAGGCAGCAAAGAGGCAGCAGCTCTGGCAGAGATTGTGTCCATGGGAGGCATCACCACTCAAGTTAAGAGGGAGCTCATCTCTACCATTGGCACAATTCTGGAGAACAAACTCTCCATTCCCAGAGCTCGCTTCGTCCTCAAGGTCTACGATACCACACTGGCAAAAAGATTGTCCAAAATGTAGTCAAAAGTCATTTGATCTGTGTTCAACAAGCATAATAAGGTCTTAGTTTGATGATTGTAATGTTGTACCCTTGATGCAGTAAAATGAATATGCATTGGCTTGGCTATTTAGTCTAGTATTGGCACCCTACATTTCAGTGATAGGCTTACCAAAAGCCTCAAAAAATCACACAATAGTCTCAGGTGTGATATGACAAAATTGCGCTTTAAATTCGCAGATTTCATTCCATCATAATCTCAGATGGTTTGTGTTCGATCAGCTTTTCTATAATTCACAGGAGGTTTTCAAGAATCCCCTCAAAGAACTATGGCTGATGCAAAGCACCTTCTTCCTATTGTGCCCGAGCTCTTTTCTTGCCAGCCTTGGCCGTCCTTATAAACTTCAATCTGTCATCACAGTAGGAGAGTTTTAGGATGATGATACAAATATATTACGCGGTGTAATCTAAGCATAATGGCAGCAAGGAAGAAATGTAACACACCGTGTCCGTTATGTCATCTCCTGATTTAACCCCTCCAATGACAAAAATCGTGTCATTTAGAGCAGCAGCTGCGAAATATCCCCTACAATGCTTCATCGGCTCTCCTGCCATCCATTTCCCAAGACGAGGATCATATACTTCAGTGCTTGCCACCATTGCAGACCCATCATATCCACCCAATGTGTATCTACATTTAATTATGTAAGTCAACAGACCAGCAACAAGCAGTTGGCATTCTCATTGCAAAGTGAGAAAGTTTACAGGGTATATTCATTTATGATTCCATCCATCCCAGTGCATATCTATATTTTATCATGTAAATCAATAGAGGAGCAACAAGCAATTGGCGTTCTCATTGCAAGTGAAATTCTACAGAGGATATTCATTCATGAATAATGAATTCATCCATCCCAGTTGACTATCAAACATAAATCAGGGCCTTGGGATATTTTAATTTTATTTCATGATGTGATGCTCTCTATCTATGGTAAAGAATAAAACTCAATTTGCAGGGGACATGGGGATACAAATCGAAATAAGGGTCAAAAGGCTTAAGAAACCCCAGGCAAAGTTGCTGGACCAACTTACTCAAAACTACAAAAGACAAGCACTGAAGAGAAGGGCGAAACAGTACATACAATTTTCCATCCATCGCAACCAACACATGACATCCTCTTTCAGTATTCATACTCTTAATCTTGGTCCAACTATGTTCTCTGGGGTCAAATCTTTCAGCAGACCTGAAACAACATGAAATCATTGTCAAGGCACAAGAAAATTTACAGGAGAAAAAAAGCAGGAAAGTTCAAGACCAATAAGAACCACCTTAACATGGGGTGATAACATTCCCTTCCTTTATCAAACGAGGAGATACGTTGCAGGTTTAGTACCCTCATGGGGAACATTAAGACATTTAAAAATTGTCTATATAAATGTAGCCATAAAAGGTATAGCAAAGTATTGTAGCTTACTTCAAATAGTTGCTTCCATCATATCCACCAACAGCATACAAGGCACCATTGAGTTCAGCCCCAGCAAGAGCAAATCGCTGAACATAGACAAACATACCAAAACTTATAAGAAACAAATTATGGAGCATTTTGGACCAGAAGGAAAGCATCAAGTACCAATGTTTTATTTTTATTGTTGTTGTTGTTTGAAGGGCAGTTAATTTTGAAATCAAACCAAGTAAAAAATGCAAACATGCATATAAAGGCCAAAAATAACCTTCTTCAGCATTGACCGTGTAGTAATCCATCGTCCAACTTGTAAATCATACATTTCAACGTCAGAAAGGCAGTCATGTCCAGTTCCACCGCCAATGGCAAAGATCTTATCATTCAAAGTAGCACTAGCCATACTACCCTTTTTCGCTTTCAAAGAAGGGTGCAAAGTCCACAAGTTCTTTGCTGGGTCATATGATTCCACTGCACAAAATAGTCGTACTAGAACTGGGCTCTAACAAATGTAAAAAAAAAAAAAATAGAAGGTCGTATCCATTATGCAAAGTTGACACATCATGCAGAAGGGAAGAGACACATGCAATACCTGTGTCATGCCACACACAGCCAGTTGGCCCAGTTCCGCCACCAAGCACATAAATTTCTCCATTCAGCTTTGTAACTGAAGCATAAGATCGACCAGAGTTCATGGGTTGAAGAGACTTTATTACATTAGGTGAAGGAGAATATAAATCTAGTGCTGATAACCATGTTTCACCATCATATCCCCCAACTAAATATATAGACTCCTCAGTGACCAGGTCCAGTCCAACTGTCTGACTCATTGTCTCATCAGCGTGTACCATTAAAGGAGTAGAGACCGACTCCAACATCACACATCTACTTTTTAGTTGCTGAATCTCTTCTTCTGCTTCAGCCTGAAATGCCATGCAAAGAAAGTGGAGAAAGGAAAAACAAACAGTTATGAAGCATTGGTATCTAAAGTACACATGTAAAATGAATTACAAAGTGTAGAGAGACACTAAATTTGATCAGCTTATTGCCATGCCGGAAGCAGATAATCTCAACTTCAAATCAAAATAAGGCTGTAGCTTTAGAATGCAGTTTTACTACCGCAGATCACATTAAGTGCCAAATGAATTTGAGATTGATACAGTGAATAGTGATAGGAAATACCAGTTTCTTCTCCAAACAATCCACCTTCAGTTTATGTGTTTCCTTAAAAGCCTTGAATTCTTCCATTCCTTGAACCAACTGAAATCAACAAAAGCAAAACCTGTATAAATCAAGTATGATAATTTCCATTGTAAAAGACAGATCAGCAAACTCATTAGTAATAACATGTACCTGAGCTATGACTGAAGGATAAGAAGTTGAGTCAAATGAGCTTTTGTCGTTCTTCTCATCCAAATCCTCTAAAACTGCATTTGGCTCTTGAGAAGTGTCATGCTCCACAGCCTCATATCTGGAATCACTTTCCATCAGAGCAGCACTTTCAACTGCTTGTCCTGTCACAGGGGCGTCTGAGCATGCAAGATTAATGGCCAATTCCTTTAGTTTCATGTACATTAGGTCCTTTTCGCCTAGCTCTGCTAAAGTACCTCCAGACACCTCCCCTTTCGGGTTATCACCATTCAGATGAAGAGAATCTTTAGTTACTAATGCCCCAGTAGACTCACAAGAGTTGGCAAAACCATTTTCTGGACCTGGCAGCTTGAAACCATTGAATATATTCATCCTACTTGTTGCAGTCCGTGGACTGATGCTACTTGGACCAGTTACTTGAGAAGACAGTCTAGAGATTAATTTACTGGTTTGAGCATGATCAAGCTCAAACCAGAAATGATTCTGACCATAATAGTTGTCCAAAATTATAGGCTTAAACTGATCTTCTAACAGTGGTTGACATTGCAGCCGGACCCGTACTGGAACCTTGAGAAAGAAATAACATAGTTTACATACAAGCACCAATCTTTTACCCTAAAATAGAATGTGACAACACAAGAACTAATAAAGGAAAAACAAAAAGTAAAGGGTAAGTCAGCTATAGTGCCTGGGCAGGAAATTGTGTTCTCTCTGAACCATTTGATGTCCACGCATATGGATTAATATTCAGTTGGCCAGTGCCTGCAGCCTCAAAGATACCATTGAGTTTTCTGTCGCTGTAGTTGAATAAGAACAACGGAAGACCTGGTACTATATTCTTTACATAGGAGAAGTGTTGAAATGGCAAACCTGTCAATATTTAGAAGTTAGAACAGACAATAGTTTGAGGAAAGGGGCATAATAGAGATAAACATGTACAAGGTATAATCAACAATCATATGCTATGTTTGATAATTATTTTATAACACATTGTCAACATGTATGTCCTCCTTAACAACATAGGATGAAAGAACAGGACCAAGTACTCATGCAGGCTATAATCTTGAAACTTACCAAAGAGTTGTTTAAGAAGGCATTCTTTGATCGTGTCGTTCTTGCAGCCAAATATAATACCACCAAGTTGACCTTTCTTTAAATTCCTAAAACCTGAAACATTGAATGGCTGGTTTGGTGATGATGGTGGATATTGGTGGGGTGTGAAGGTTTGCATTTTCTTCCCTGCTTTCATCCTGAAAATCAAATGGACAACTGTTATCATTGTATCTTATTAAGACAATTCATAAACACACAAGGCACAATATAGGCGAAATCAGAAGTAATTGACCAAAAATCAATAACCAAATCAAGAATGTCATGCAAATTCACCAGGAAGATGAAAATGCTCCACACTCTACAAGTAAGAGTTGGAAAGGGAGCAAATTAGATAAAGTTGTGGTGTATCACTATCTGTTGCACTCTACCAGTATACTTATGCAATTCACTTTTGTACTTAGACCTCATTGAAAAAGCATTACATGGGTTTGATGCAACTCATTCTGACCCACATATAATGTGTGCAAGTAGAAATGAAGCATATTATACAAATCTGTTCCCAGCCTGTTCAAATTCAACCCAACATTAGGATCCATCATGTTGGATTGTTGGAAGGAATTCCTTCAAAATTACAAACCCTGCATTGTGAGTGTGTTTTATGCTTTTTCTTTTCCCTTCTTTAGCAATTCCCAAAACAACACTTTGTTCCACTCAAGCTAGCCTAATCTTAAGAAGATCCCATTAGACAGTAATATACAATATTTGCCTAGTGGTTACTTGATTCCTAAGCCACTTTCCCCACTTTCCCAACTTTCAATAACTGTAACCACTTTGTCACTCCGATCACTTCACCAGGTAGTGTTTCTTTTATAAAGATAAAAAAAAAAATAAAAAATCATAAAATAGTTCTACACAAACAACAGAAGCATCAAATTATGTAAATTTTTAAAAATCCAAGAAGATACATTATTAACCCCTCAGTAATAAATTATTAAAAATCCCAGAAGATACAGTATCAACCCCTCAGCAATATTTAATTTCTTTTATTTTTTTTAATGCAACCTATCTTGTCTATACTCTATAGAAAACGAGGAATCACAGTAATACAAAAATTAAAAATAAAAACAACAACAGAAACCGATGATTTCAGGGACAACAATCAACATTCAACAGAAGGGCGCTATATTCTCTAGCAAAGTCCACACAAAATCATTCAAAAAATCAAACAAATGAAGATTGTGGCTTCGTCCCGTCGTATCACTATCAATGAAACCTCTCCGACCAAGTTCCGACGAATCAAATGTATGATGCTCCGGAGCACACAAAATGCGTGTATATTGAAAGAGAGGTGAAAGATACGGACCTAGCATTCAGAGGAAGAAGAGAGCGAAAGCTTCGAGTGAACGGAACAGTCGGAGGCGCGAAATGGGCGAGAGAGACTGAGGGAGTATACGTGTACAAGTATAAAGCGACAGCTCAGTGATGGTTCACGATAGTGATGCACCCCAACTTTTTTCTAATTTGCTCCAATAAAACAAAAGAGTTAATACCATCTAGAGTCCTCCGAGTATAGTGATTTTGTCACATTTAGTCCTAAATTTTTAAATTACCACACATGATTCTTCGACTTTCAAATTGTTACCATCCGTGGTCCAAGTTAACCACATATGGTCCTTAAACTATAAAATTTTAACCACTCGTAGTCATTCCAAAAAGGATCGCAACTGGTTAAATTTTAAAAATTGAAAGACTATGAATAGTTAATTTGGATTATGGATGTTAACAATTTAAAAATTAAATGACTATAGATGGTAATTCAAAATTACCATACTCAAAAGACTCCAGACGGTATTAACTCTAAATACTTATTACTATTTAAACAAATGTAATAGTATGGTTGTTTCATCGAAAATATAATTACTTTAATTTCCGTTTTGGAAAAATGGAACTGCACAATGATTGCGTGATGGCATGGTAGTAATGGCAGAGGGAAAGATGGGAAGTTTGTTAGTCTCTTGTCTATATTAATATATTAGTATACAAAATTTATATTTAAAAACTTAATTAAAAGTATTATTAAACATAAAAATATTATCAAAGATTGTGGTCAAGCAGTTTCAATAGGTTGAGAAAGTATGTATAAACATATACTACATTGTAACAGAGTACATTAAATATCAAATAAGAGTGTTCTTTACTATTTTCTTGGTACTGTGTATGAATCTTACTTGATTATTGATGGATTATTGTTGATTTGTTGGCTAATTTCATGAAACTTGATAGACTTGTAATATTGATAAAATAAATATTATGTATTGTGGCATTCAAAAAAAAAAATATTATGTATTGTGAAAATGAACTCTATTATTGTCTTAATGAACTTATTTTAGGTTTATTTGTATTATCTTATAGTTACATTATTATTGTAAAAAAGAACATTCAATATTGTAAAATAAACAAATAATATTGTGAAAATGAACATGCAATGTTTCATTAATAAATATTTTGAAATGCATAATTATAATGTAGATGCATTACACTTGTAAAAACAAACTTATAGTATTTTGAAAATGATCATATATTATTGTAAAAATGAACATACAGTATATTAAAAATTAACTTTTAGCATATTGAAAATGAACATCACATAACGACTTAATATTTTTTTTTTTGAAAGCTACTGGCTCTATTACATTGTAGTATCTGTTCATATACTTTCTCAACCTACTGAAACACAAAAAACCAATAACACCTCCACTGAGGCTTGAACTCATAATCTTCCAAATGGAAGTCCAACCCGGGTACCATTAGACCACATAGTCCTGGTACATAACGACTTAATATAATTGTATGTTCATTTAAAATATTATAATAAAAATATCAATATGGGTGTCATTTGAAATACTTTGATTGGAGTTTTTTAATGATATACATTTTATTACTTTTATTTGGAAAAAAAAAAAAAAACCTTAAGTTGGAAAAAAAAATTAACTTTGTTCACCTTACAAGGTCCATGGTAATGTGGTATAACAATCATTTTAAATAGAAAATTTTAGGGGATGTTTGATTGGATGGAAAAGTTTTTTCATGAAAAAATATTTTTCTTAAAGTGAAGGAAAATGTTATTTTTTAGATTTGATCATAAAAAAATGTATTACTCTCATTTGAAGAAAACAAAATTCTTAGTAGGACATGAGTTTTTGTTTTCATGAGAGTTGCGAAGAAAAAAATGAGGTGACTTTGACAATTTTATCCTTGTTGTTTTGTTTTTTATTATTATTACTTTTAATAAAATGGTCAAATAGGCTATCCAACTATACACGAAAATACAATTAGGACATTGAATTCAAAAAAATTACAATTGGGTCACTAAACAACGCAAAATGATGCAATTGAGCCAAAAATGACATGTTTACTTATTAGCTTGCTGATGTGGATGTTATCATATTAAAATAATAATTTTTTATTTTATTAATTTTAAATAACAAAAAAAAAATTAAAAAAGGTTTTTCGCTTCGTCTTCGGTTGTCGGAGACGAAGAGAAACCCTTTTTTTTAAAATGTTATTTAAAATTATTAAAATAAAATAAAAAATTATTATTTTAATATAATAATCTCTACATCAGCAAGTTAACAAGTAAACATGTCACTTTTGGTTCAATTGCATCAGTTTGTGTTATTATGAGACTCATCACATTGTGTGTAGTTCAATGACATATTTGATCCTTATTCCTTACTTTTATTATTTTGTAGGGGTATATACATCATTACACTTATTATTCATTACAATTTCAAATGCAACCAAATAATAATAAAATCAATATTCTCAGTATCTTTTCCCATCAACCAAACAATAAAATTTATATTTCTAGTAATTTCTTTTCAATGAAATTTTATTCCCCTTAAAATATTTTTCGCAGACCAAACAAGTCTTTATTGCCTTATCCATTTAAATCTATAAGTTATGAATAACTTAAATTGATTTACCTATATAATCTTTTGTCAATTAAAGTTATAAAGTGAAATTCACTAAAAAATCCACACTTCCCTGTAAATCAAAAGGAAGCAACTCCATCATATATACTACAAATCTATCCACTTTTGAGGGACGGATGATACCATATAAAGAATTATTCCAAATAGGTAACATTATATGATATGATATATACTCAAGTGGAATCGACTACATTGAAACATAAATACATATGAATCCTCCCATTTTCTTCTATGATGTCAAATGTTCAAAGCCTAAACGGGTTAAAAGGTTTCAGCAGTGTGTTGGAGAAGACAAAGTGTTCGATGAAATGACAGCCAAACTGTACATACAGACAGATAAACAAGTTGTAGAAAACTGTCTCCACTCAAATACTCAACCTTCTCGCACCGACGTTAGGTAGCGCCGCCGTTATGTGGCCGGCGAAATCAGCAGTTCGCCTGCGTCGTCGTCTTTAACCTTGTAGTCGAGAACAGTATCAAGGCCGTCGTCAGTTTTGGCGTTGGTTGGGCAGTCGTCATCAGCAATGATTTGCGAGGCGGATTTTGTGAGCACTGAGCTCTGGCGTTTGAAGAACAAGCACACGACTGCGCAATCGTCAATCTTGGAACACGGGTACCTTGTTTTCCACGCCCGGACCGCACGTTCCACCACCAGCTGCGCCGCCGCGGATCGCTTCCTGGCGGAAGCAACCACCTTGATCACCTCCTCATTGCTCAGCACATCCCAAACCTGAAACCAAAAGCAAGACATAATTAGATTTTTTTTTTAGTGACAAAAACCGCTCTTAAAGTGTGTACGGTAGATCCTAGGGGTTGAAATAAAAAAGGCTGCGGGTGTAAGTGAAGTGAATAGTTTGGCCAACTTGACTGCAGTTGTCCAATTGAACCGTTTTCTCTCTAGGTAAATGCGTTTGCACTCTGGACAACTTGCACTTGTAAATTTTGGCTAGCTCAATTAATAGATTCTCTCACTGAAAGTTAATTGTCCAATCAATTTGGTTGGAATTGCTCTAGATATGGTTAGATTTAGATCGTAATTGAATTGTTTGCCTTTTAGATAAGTGCGTTTGCACTCTAGGTAACTTGCACTCGTAAATGCAGTCAACTCAAACCAAGAAGACTAATAAACTTCTCTCACTAAGAGTCACACTTATAACTTTGTGATTACCAAGTTAATGATCATATTAGACCAACTTGAGTAGGTTGTCATAGACATGATTAGATTTGGATAGTAACTGAAGCGTTTACACTCTAAGCAAATGTAGGGTGGCGTACCCCATCAGTGGCTAAAACGACGAATTCATCTTTGTCGGAGAGCTTTCTATAATACACTTCCGGGGTGGAGATGAGGCCGTAGTCTTTTAAACAGAAATCTCCGAAAGCCCTTGCCATGGCTAGCCCTGGACAGTCTTCATGAGGCATCCACACTCTGAACACACTTGGCTCTTCCTTCATCGCCATTACTCTTCCTTGGCAGCTTGTGATACGTTCCCTTTCACCTACCAGCACATTAATGGAAACCCTAAGTCCGTAATTTCACTCAGAATTTAAAGAAGAAAATGAAATATAGCTAAATCAATAATCATATATATATACTTGGAAGGTTAGGTTTCAAGTCGACAGAGAGCTGTTCAGGAACAAGGGCACCTTCATCATTTCTTGTGCAAATTATGGCACGAGAATCCCCTAAGTTCCCAATTATCAGATATTCACCCTGAAGATCATATCACAAAGTCACAGGAAGCATTACAAAATTCACAATTGAAAAAAGACTTGATTCTAGATACACAATTCGTTATCAATGAATACACAATGAAGTTCGTAGTTCTCACGGGTGGGGTAATTTTCATCCCAATCCTATATATATATATATATATATATATATATATATGACAAATCACATGAGAACTACCTCTCTCGTGCGAACTACAGACATTACAAGATGGACGCATGTGTGTGGTGGAGAAGGTGATTGGTATGTACCAGTTTAAATACAGTAATGGCAGTAGTGCCACTGCTGTAGCTCTCAACGGAAGAGTCGCCTTCTAATTCATGATCCATATCTTTAAAGGCCTTGATTATATTGGATTTGGACTTGATAAATAATGGATGATTCTGAATGTCGCCGCCTTGGAGATTGTCAGCGCTGCTATCCCAAGAATAATTATTTCCTTTCAATGACATCGAAACCTTTGAAGGCAAGCCGTCGCGGATGTAACGCGCCACCTTATGGCCGGAGGGTCCATGCCCGTCAAAAACACCACAGAAGTACCAACCTTTCTGCCCTCCAAAGTTCTGAACGCAAAAGAAAAGAGAGAAAGAAATTAAACTGGATTCAATAATAATGAGGTAGGTAAATTTATATATATGAAGGCTAGAAATCAAAGAGGATGGGGGGAATTGAATTGAATTAATTACCTCCCAAACGGTCATGGCGTCTTGATTGATTCCCTTTTTACCTTGTTGAGAAAACATGGAGACATATTTAGAGGATCCATGCAACCTGACTTGTGCCCCAAAAGTTGCTCTTCCCACAATTCCATGATCATCATCATGTTCATATTCATCCTCAACCTCTCGCTCTACTCTGTAATTCGCATTTTCCACTCTGTATCCATCGTACCTCTCAATCCGAACCCTCTGGCACGTACAGCATCCGCCCATTCTCGTTAGTTTTCCGATCCGATCTTCAAAGATGTTAGTTTAATTTGATCTATCAGGAGATGAATGGCATCTGATCTCCCAATTGATCGAATTTGAAGATGGAAAACAGAAAGGGGAATCGGATTGAAGGATCTGATCTAGATGGAAACTGCGGTTCAGGAGATTGTATGTATGTTTAGAGAGAAAGCAGCAATTGAGAACAAACACAAGCTAAGCAGGCCAAATCATGAATGTTTATCTCATGAGATGAGAGTGACATTCATGACTTTTGGGATAAACAAATTCCAAAGATCGATTCAAAAGAATATAAATAACGTCAGTGTGGGTGGAGAAAGGTTCGTTGTTACATTCGTGGTGGTGGATTTAATCATTAATCATCAATCATCAATGTCATCGTCATCTTGAACCATGCAAGTTGGCCATTGGATATTTATCTCCACAATATAATAATGCATGCATGGCATATTAATGTTATCTTTCTATTCCCGTTCCTAATCATTTGAGGGGGAAAAGATTGAAATGAGAATCTAAGCCTATCTACCAAAATGTGACGCAGCTGGGTGATGGACTAATTTATGAAAAGAACGTTTGGGACGTGCGTTTTAGGCATGTTTCAAACGTCCTCGATTATTTATTTATTTTTTCATCCCACCATCAAATCGCAAGTGGAATTTGCGGTCTACATGAGACCGCAAGTCTCACTTGCGATTTAGCTGATACCACTCCAAACACGAGCTTCGTATATGATAGTTAGTTCAGATTGAACTCCAAACATGGATGCTGTCAGCTAAATCGCAAGTGGGACGTGCGGTCTCCTGTAGACCGCAATTCCCACTTGTGATTTAATTTGACGGTGAGGTGAAAAAAAATTAAAATTGAGGACGTTTGAGACATGCCTAAAACGCATGTCCCAAACGTCCTTTTCCTAGATTAGTTTTTCGCCCAATTACGTCACATTTTGAAAAATAGGAAGGCTTAGATTCACATTTGAGTCCTTTTTCCATCATTTGAGCTCTCTAAGTGGACACGTACTGATGTTTGCCTTTTGAGTGCAAGGAAATAAAGGCTAATCTCCAAATGGCATTTTATCACTAAAAATGATAAATATACTACTCCGTATTAAAAAAAAAAAAAATTATATCACATATCTTGTCAAAAATAAAGAACTACAAAGAGATAAACCAAATCAATAACCACTTACACTTAGAGTTGAACTTGTAATCACTTAATTATTATACATTTAATAGTCTTACCAACTTGACTCAAGTTACCCCTACACTTATATCATTTAGCATTAAGAATTCGGGTCGAAACCATGGTGCATAGCAAAAAGGTTCTTGTATAAACTTCTGCATTGAAAATCGATAAAATGACAGAACTTGTTACTCAGCAAATATGCACACTTGCAGTGTTTCACCGATTACAGTGTTTGAGTTTTTTTTTATACAAATTATGTAACCAGAAAACAATTGCAATATATAACCGCTAGTAAATTTACAAAGGAAATGAATAACATCGCGCTTGCACGCTGACCTCATGTGTCATACATCAAATCAAATATATATGTATATATATATTTCCCCGATTAATCTATGGGGAGATAATAAAATATTGGAACCCTAACTTAATACATGCTATAGAGGGGAAAGTATATATTTTACAGTGGCAGAGTGTATAGATCTTCAATTCTGGAAAAAAGGATTGAGGCCGCCATCCGAACATGGCAAGATCTGTTGAGAATCCAGGCTGTATGGTTGACGGATTAAATTGCAAAAAATTTCATGAATTAGTCCCAAGAATCCTCGTCGTCCTCTTCATCACTTCCAGCAAAAGCCTATGCAGCAGAGACATCAATCAGTAAACTAAATTTATGTACAGGAGAAGATAAAGCATGTGAACACAAGAGAGACCTGGCGAATTGTTTTTGCTTTCTCCAAAATGGCAGCAACTCTCAAATTGGGTTGAGGAGCCTGAATATTGGGTCTTGTCACACTTGCTGGCTTCAGATTGAAGGACTGGAAAATTATTTTTTAAAAAAGTTCAGTCATCTCAAAGCAAAAGAGGTGAGGATTAAAATTGGAAAGATATGTTATGTAAGGCTTTCCCATTTTTACCTTGTTTCTTATCTGTTCTAATAGCATATCTCTTTCATCTACCTTCTGAACTGGGGGCTTAACTCTATCAGTCACTTTCCTCAGCTGCAAAATGATTCAGATTGTTAGTTAATGTACTTCACTAAACATGCTGATATCAGTACATAAAAAGAACACAGGATGCGTACTTTGCTTTTGTCATGTTCCAATACCATATCTCTTTCATCTACCTTTTGCACCGGGGGCATAACTCTATCAGTCACTTTCCTCAGCTGCAAAATGATCCAGGTTGTTAGTTAATGTACTTCACTAAATATGCTGCTGTTAGTACACAAAAAGAACATAAAATGCTTACTTTGCTTTTGTCATGTGCAGCTACAGCCTCAATTAGAGGAGTTCGAGGTCGAGGTAGCTTCATTTTCCTGCTCCCATTCACCATTCCATCTTCCACAGCTGGCCATATAATATCCTCTTCTAAACTAGACTTGGCCTGCAGAGGCTTTTGAAAGTTCATCTCCATTGCTAATCGTAAAGCATCATCTACAACCAAATTCTCCTCCAAACATGCAGAGCTCTTCTCACTCTCCAATTCCTTTGAGTTTACCTCAGGTGCTACTTGGTGCTCAGATGGAGTCAATTCTTTGTTAACTGGTATAGTATTATGACTGACCAAATTCTCCTCCGAAATTGTATGGGCCTTGTCAAGTTTCTGTTCATTCAAGCTTGTCTCAGGTGCTGGTTCTTTGTCTGATGGCATAGTATCATGTGTAACCAAATTCACCTCTGAACTTGAAGAGTCCTCGTCAAGCTTCAGCTCCTTCAAGCTCATCTCAGGTGCTACTTGATGCTCAGGTTGGATCAATTCCTTGTCTGTGACCAAATTATCCTCCAAACTTGTAGAGCCCTTGTCAATTTTTGCTTCCTCCATGCTTGTTACAAGTGCTACCTGATGTGGGGGTTCAGTCAATTCTTTGTCTGATAACTGAGAAGCATCCAAGGGACCTGAATCCTCAGGTTTTACGAGTTGTCCCAATCTATTATTTGTTGTCTGATTTCCTTCTGAATTTGTTAAGCCCTTTTCAAGCTCCTGCCTCTTTAAACATGTATCTTCTGTTGTTTCACTTGTTTGTTTGACAGGTAGGATAAGTTCTTCAGATGAAGTCCCAAGGGCAACTGTACATGCTTTATCTACTGGAATTACTTGTGAGGATGAATCGAGAGGCTGCTTTCCGGTTGGAACATTCAAATTTTCTTTGCTATTTTCATCAATAATTCTGTGTGGTGCTTGCAAAGTGAATGAACCATAATGTGCTGCACCATATTCATAAACAAGAGTTGAATCCTCATTTGTCACAGCTGGCAATGGTAAACTTTTTTCCGAAGGTTGAACAGCCTGATCAATCTGAGATGGAAAACTAGGCAATGAACCAGTTCCATTTTGTGCCCCATCTCTCTCCTGAACACGCTGAAATTTCCCTATCCTCCACTGAACTGGAGGAAGGGGAGGCAATGGAGGCATTTCCTCAAGATTTATCTGATCTGACCTAGGAAATAGTCCAATGCCATTGTTGCCATGTGGTAAGAGCTTTGACACTGAAGGTTTACATGGAAGGCCATTGAGCATAGTTTTGGAAGAAGCATCAATGAACCCTTCTTGGTGAACATGATCTGGAGCTTCTATCTTTTCTAACTTATATAACTGCTCTGAAATGTTTTCATCTTCAACAACCAATTGTTCCTTTTCAATTTGATTGCACGTTAACTTGACATTTTCTTCTAAGCAATCATGGGTTGGCAAAGATGAAGCATCATCATGGTTGCCCTGTGCTAAAAGCTTTGGAAATGAACATTGAATTGGAACTTCTGATGTCACGGGTATGGAAGAAAGGTTAACAGATCTTTCAAGCTCAGTGTGATATGATGGTTGTCTCTGTTCCAACTGAGGTAACAGCAGTGTATTTTCTGCATTACCATTACCAACAAGCAATTCCTCCTTATGAAGTTGGTTGTGTGCTATCTCAGCCTTGTGTTCTGCAAATTGAGAGATCAGCAAAGAGGAAGCATCTTTGCATTTGTCCTCCGGCAAAGGTGCTTGGAATGGAATGTTTGACATAACATATTTGGAAGAAGCTCCAAATAACCCAGCTTGGTCACTTTGACATGAAAGTTCTTGCTCCAGAGGAGGTATCAAATTCAAATTTTTCTCACCATAATCTAGCGGTTCCTCATTATCAAGTTGATCTCTTGGTAATTCAGATTCTTGTTCAGCACATGGATGGCTTTGCAAAGGTGAAGCATCTCCTATGACATCCTTAAAGCTACTCCTTGGGGAAGATGTTTCTTCTACATTTAAAGTACTTTGCTCGAAAGGTAGCTGCATAGAACTGGTTTTATCAAGATCCAAAGTGAGAACTTCAGACTCAAGATGATTATAGCCTGCAATCTCATGCAAATCATACATAACAGTATGGTGGCCAATTTCATTTAATGCACCTGAGTCCTTAGAATCATCTTTAAGGAATAAATTCTCTCTCTGCAACCCATTCAGAGTACAATGCCCAGAGCTAGAATTAGAGTCATCTTGTAGCTGTTTAATATCAAGAGAAGAAACAGAAGCACCCCCAGTGCACTCATCCGAGCTACCAAGAGAAGCAGCTGCACCCTCAGCATTTAATCTGTCTGCCTGTGTCACCCTCACATGTCCTGCAGGTTCCTCACTTGTTGAATCAAGACATGGAGACAGTGAAGAGGTAACCATTTCAATCAAATCTGGACCAGGGACAGATTGAAACTTATCTTCAGTATTTGTCATACTTGGAGCCTCATCAAGATTTACCTGCCTACTCTGCGAATAGGCCACATCTCTAGTATCAAGCGGCACAGTTTGTATGATAGAAAGGTTTGATGGACCAATGTGACCTCCATCTGAATTTGCAGTGCAATTATCTTCAGTATATTCCTCCTCAGACACTAATGTCTCATCAAACTTTACACTGGTATTCTCAATTTCTGAGGCTGAATCAAGAGCCTTATTTTCAGTTTGTACCACAGGCAAGTTCAATGAACCACTGTGATCTTCAGAAATTTTTAAGCAATCATCTTCAGCATTTTCTTCCTCAGGTGCAACAAGCAAATCATGTTTGACACATTCCTCTTCTGAAGAAGCCTCCAACATATTTGGTAGACGAACTGAAACACCAGAGCTAATATTT